ACAGGAGGGTTTGACGTGCACACCGCTCGCTGTACGGGAGGGTTTGATGCGCACACCACGCTGTACGGGAGGGTTTGACGTGCACACTGCTCACTGTACGGGAGGGTTTGATGCACACACTGCGCTGCATGGGAGGGCCTGACACGCACACCGCGCTGCATGGGAGAGTTTAACGCGCACACTGCACTGCACGGGAGGGTTTGATGTGCACACGGTTCACTGCACGGGAGGGTTTGATGCGCACACTGCGCTGCACGGGAGGGTTTGACACACACACTGCGCTGCACGGGAGGGTTTGACATGTACATCGCACTGCACTGGAGGGTTTGACGCGCACACTGCACTGCATGGGAGGGTTTGACGGGCCCATCGCGCTGCACGGGAGGGATTAAGCTTTGACTCAACTCCATGAGTAACTCTGGAATGATCCGTGTGAAGTCTAGGCCACACATTCTATGGAAGTGCCGTTCTCACTGGCCCCAGTCTGGGGGGCAGAGTTGGGGGCTGGGGGTTCTGTTGGAGCACCTGGGCCTCATCTCCACGAGGAAACGTGAGGCCACCCGTGCAGAAGTGGAGCAGCAGGAAACCCAGACCTTGAGAGAGCAGTGGGCGCCACGGCCCCTCAGAGCCACGGCCAGCGGCCACTGTGGGGGCTACCAGGTGGCAGGAGTGGCTGGGGCCGTGTCCAGGCTGGCCACTGGCCTCAAGGCCTGGGTGAGTCTGCTGCCCTCAGCCAGGGAGACCCAGAAACTCTGCCCTGAGGACCCTACGAGGCTGAGCCCCTGCCAGGCTCAAGGGAGACGAACAATCGGCTTGAGCCTCCGCAGCCCCCCGGGACTGCTTGTCTGGGGATGCGGCTGCCTGGCCCTGCCTCCTTTCACCCACGCGTGACGACTGACCCTGGGTGCGGCTTGCTCCTGCTCTGGCCGGTTCTGGGTCCCCATGACCACACATTCCCTTGACTGCTGGGCCTAGGCCCACCCACCCCCAACCCCCAACTGGTTTGTGAGCTCCACTTACCAAGCAGGCCACCGGGGGTGCCCTCCTGGCCACAGAGGGCATCCAAATCCAGCTCCAGGTCTCTCCTGGGCAGGGGTACGTCGGCTTCTGTACCTCTCTTGGCAGCTCTGGGCCCCGGCACCCCAGCTGCGGGGCTGGACACAGGATAAGGGATGCATTCGAACCCACTGCAAAGGAATAGGGGCAGCTTGGCTCTGCTCACCCCACACCAAGCTAGGGTGCAGGCGGACAGCGTGGTCCATGCCCTGGACCCAGGGACTTGCCTACACTGAGTCCAGGGAGTGCTACTCAGCCTCTCTGGGAGGTCTCCTGCTGGGATGGGATCAACAGAGGCCCAGAGAGGAAAAGGGCCTAGCCAGATAGCAGGTCTCAGCGTGAAGGAAGAGCTGCCTGCCGCCCCCACTATTCTTTTTTTTTTTTTGAGACGGAGTCTCGCTCTGTCACCCAGGCTGGAGTGCAGTGGCGCGATCTCGGCTCACTACAAGCTCCGCCTCCTGGGTTCATGCCATTCTCCTGCCTCAGCCTCCCGAGTAGCTGGGACTACAGGCGCCCGCTACCACGCCCGGCTAATTTTTTTGTATTTTTAGTAGAGACGGGGTTTCACCGTGTTAGCCAGGATGGTCTTGATCTCCTGACCTCGTGATCCGCCCGTCTCGGCCTCCCAAAGTGCTGGGATTACAGGCTTGAGCCACCGCACCCGGCCCCCATTATTCTTTATGACAACTCCAGCAGCATCACCTCTTGGGTGCATTCTGACTTTCACAGTGGGTCCAAGTTTACTGCAAATGTCAGACTGTCCTTAACTCTGGAGAAGGGCTGGTGGGAAAAGGGAGTGTCAGAGCTGTGGCGGTACACTCAGGTCTGGTCGCCTGGGGCACGGCTAAGTTCTGACTGTGAACGGGAAAATGCATGGATTGTCATGTGGCGGGGCTTAGAGTGAGGCCTCTTCCTAGAGTCCTGCAGCTCAGGCCTCTGTTTGCATGTGGGTTCGTGCACACACTGGCCTGGTCCAGCGTGTTCCTGGGAGGCCTGGTGATGTGTGCATGGGGAGTGGCGCCCAACTAGGCCTGGCTGGTAAGGGCCGTTCCCCTCCTGGCTGCGTCAAGAGAGGCCTGAGCATCTCTGCAGCCGACCCTCCTCCCAGGAGCACCCGAGGGCCGGAGTCCTGACGTCTCCCCTCCAGATATGGACCCAGGCCCAGAGGCTTCGGGGCCGATTGCTGGGGGAGACTGGGGGCTCTGACTAGGGGCTTGCGGTCTCAGAAGGCAAGAGGGACCACAGCAAAGGGTTAGATACTGAAATTCAAGGGAGCTGTTTCCTTAGAACAGACATCGAATATTTCATTTGTCATAACCAGGACTTAGCCCAGGTCTCCAGGGAAAAAAGGACAAGGAATTAATGTGATCTAAATGAACTCAAAACAAACTCAAAACTAACTCGTTGGTGTCACACGTACTCACAATGGGGTCTGGATGAGTGTCTCTTGGTTGTCTCTGTCCACTTTGAAAAAGCTGACCTCAGAATAGGCCGACAGCTGCACGTATCTGACGCCCGCTGAGATCTGCAGGACGCGGCCACTCTCGCCTTCCAGGAGAGAGGAGCAGGCAGTGAACACTCGCAGGCACCCAGGAGCAGGGGGCGCGGGCACAGGGCTCACCAAGACTTGCCTGTGGGCCCGGGGCAGGCCTCTGGGACACTGTGTTTATAATTCGGCGGGGCCACATTTGCTGGCTGCCGTGGCCCCGGGGGGCTGAGTACCCCGGCTTGCCCTCCGTGGCCTCTCTGCTCCTCTCCCATGCCCTGCAGAAGTTTCCCGGCCTGGGATCTCTGGTGCTGGCCACACTCACCCCAACACCCCTGTGCCCCTTGCCTCAGGTCCTGGATCCTGAATCTCCAGCTCTGGGCCTCGGGGACCCCTGGCTCCACCTCTGCCCGAGCCTGGGGGTGGCACACTATCAGAAGGCGTCTCCTTGCCAACCAGCCTCAGGGGTTCACCTCAGGTACACCCAGGCCCTGGGCTGGTCAGGGGCATGGGGTGGCACTGGCACTCACAAGCTCCCGGGGCCTCCAACGTGGTTCTCATCCCCCTGGCGGATAGCAGGCCTTCCATGCCCATCTCCCACCCTGACCCAGGGGGATGGTCCCTCCACCAAGGTACCCAGCACAGGGCCTGGCACATAGCCGGTGCCCACCAAGTGTCTGCTGAGTCAGCTGCTTCATCCTGCACCCCACTGCTCCTGGGAACCTCAGGCTGCAGGTGGCCCCCAGAGGACTGTGCCCAAGGAGTGGACACCATTGTCCCTCTGAGTTGCTGAGTGCAGATGCTCTGGGCCCTGCTGGGCAGGTGGAGGTGGCGGAGTTGGGTGTTCAGCCACACTCAGAAGACCCCACGTGGGGGCTGGATAGCAGGGAGGAGTGGCTTGGGCACCGTGGGTGGAGGCAGGATGGCTGTGCCGAGAGGAGCAAAGAGGAAGAGGAAGGAGGCCAGGTGTGGTGGCTCACACCTGTAATTCCAGCACTTTGGGAGGATCACCTGAGGTCAGGAGTTTGAGGCCAGCCTGGCCAACATGGCGAAACCTGTCTCTACTAAAAATACAAAAATTAGTCAAGGGTGGTGACAGACACCTGTAATCATCCCAGCTCCTTGGGAGGCTGAGGCAGGAGAATCACTTGAACCCAGGAGGCGGAGGCTGCAGTGAGCCAGGATTATGCGCACTCCAGCCTGGGAGACAGAGAGAGACTTCGTCTCAAAAAAAAAAAGAAAAGAAAGAAAGAAAAAAAAAAGAAACAAAAGAAGAGGAAGGAGACCAGTTCAGGGCCCCAGAGTGGATGCCAAGCTTTGGGATGGGTTCCCAGGTGGGAAGTGACTGGACTTCAGCGAACATGGGTTATTCGGACAAAGCAGGGCCCAGGCGGGCTCCCACTTGGGGTGGCGGTGGAGGGTCACCTCAGAGCCTAGGGCTGTCCCCGATCATCACTGATGAAGTATCACACCCTGCACCCCTAGCACTAGGCACAGGTCCAGGGCCTGGTCATGTGGACTCTGAGGTCAAGGTCCCATGGAGAAGGAAAGGTCAACAGGAACCCAGCCTAAGATCTGGTGCAGGAGACGTGACTGAGAAAGCAAAGATGTGAAATGTAAAAACACCAGCGTAGCCTGCTGGACTTCTGTATGGGGACGGAGTGACTGGGATCGACGGATACCCCGGTTCAAACAACCAAGAACGCCGACAAAGTGCGATGAAATTGATCACCAGGATCCCGGACACCAGGCAACTCAGGACAGATTCTTCAAAGAAGGAAACAAACGGTGTGGCCACTGCCTTAAGAGAACGTGCAGGATGAGCTGCAGACAGAGGAAACTGAGGCACAGCCCAACAAACCCCTCAGTTGAGAAAAATGAGCAGAGAATCTGGGGAACAAGGCACACAGTCAGAGTTTTTTTTTTTTTTTTTTGAGACGGAGTCTCGCTCTGTCACCCAGCCTGGAGTGCAGTGGCCGGATCTCAGCTCACTGCAAGCTCCGCCTCCCAGGTTCCCGCCATTCTCCTGCCTCAGCCTCCCAAGCAGCTGGGACTACAGGTGCCCGCCACCACGCCCGGCTAGTTTTTTTTTGTATTTTAGTAGAGACGGGGTTTCACCGTGTTAGCCAGGATGGTCTCGATCTCCTGACCTTGTGATCCGCCTGTCTCGGCCTCCCAAAGTGCTGGGATTACAGGCTTGAGCCACCGCGCCCGGCCTCAGAGTTTTAAAGTTCAAAAGGCAGAGCAGCGAAGAGGAGAGAGAGGACCCTGAGTAGAGGGAGGACCCCGCAGCCTGCAGGAGGCCCTGGAATACTCAGCGGAGCACCAGTCAGCACAGCTGGGACGAAACTCCACAAGGCTGGGGAAGAACCACCCGAAGAATTAAGAGGGACCAGGACCTGGGCCTCACACAGGACTGGGCATGGTGCCTGTTCTCATCGGCCAGGCTGGAAAAACTCAGAAGTCACAGGAAGCTGGGACAAGCTCTCAGAAGGTTCTTGCTACAGTCATGGGGAACCATTGATGTGAGGCAGACAGGTCTCCAGCAGACCTGCCCAACAAATCATAAACGCAAGACCCAGGAGGACTTGACTGTCTCCAAGTCACTGAACTGTGCCCCAGAACAAAGCTCAAGAATATTGACAGGAATACAAAAATATCCAGCACCCAACAAGGTAAAATTTATAATGTCTGGCATCCAGTCAAAGATTACGAGGCATGCAAAGAATGCAGGAAAGTATGGCCCATAACAAGGAGAAAAATACATTGACTGAAACCGGTCCAAAACCGACACGGATGTTAGAATCAGCAGTAAAGGACATTCAAGCGTGGTCATCATAACTGTATTCCATGTTCCAAAGTTAAACAGAGACACAGAAGATATAAAAAAAGAACAAAGAGCCGGGCGCGGTGGCTCGCACCTGTAATCCCAGCACTTTGGGAGGCTGAGGTGGGCAGATCACCTGAGGTCAGAAGTTTGAGACCAGCCTGGCCAACATGGTGAAACCCCATCTCTACTAAAAATACAAAAAATTAGCTGGGTGTGGTGGCACGTGTCTGTCATCCCAGCTACTTGGGAGGCTGAAGCGGGAGAATAATTTGAACCTGGGAGGTGGAGGTCGCAGTGAGCCGAGATTGTGCCACTGGACTCCAGCCTGGGAGACAGAGAGCAAGACTCTGTCTCCATCAATCAATCAATCAATCAGTAAGAAAAAAGAACGATGTCAAACTTCTGGTGATGAAAACTATAATGTATGAGATAAAAAAGTATGCTGTTGCTCACAACAGGTTAAACATTGCAGAAGAAAAGATTTACGAACGTGGAAATGCGGTTGACCCTGGGCCAACATGGGAATGCCGGCCGCTGACCCTCCATACGGCTGAAAATCCACATGTCAATTCTGACTCCCCCATGACTTAACTCTAATAGCATACTGTTGACCAGAAGCCTTGCTGATAACAGAAACTGTTGATTAACACGTATTTTGTATGTTGTATCTATTAAATACTGTATTCTTACAATAAAGTAAGCTAGAAGAAAGAAAATCATAGTAAAAGAAAACAAGGCCGGGCGCAGTGGCTCACGCCTGTAATCCCAGCACCTTGGGAGGCTGAGGCAGGCGGATCACGAGGTCAGGAGTTTGAGACCAGCCTGGCCAGTATGGTGAAACTCCATCTCTACTAAATATACAAATATTAGCCGGGCATGGTGGCACGCGCCTGTAATCCCAGCTACTCGGGAGGCTGAGGCAGGAGAATCGCTTGAACCCAGGAGGTGGAGGTTGCGATGAGCTGAGATCATGCCACTGCACTCCAGCCTGGGTGACAGAGTGAGACATCTCAAAAACCCCGAAAAACAAAAAACATATTTACTATTTATTAAGTGGAAGTGGATTATCATAAAGATCATCCTTGTTGTCTTCACACTGAATAGACTGAGGAGGAGGAGGAAGAAGAGGGGTTGGTCTTGCTGTTCTGGGGGTGGCCGAGGCAGAGGAAAACCTGTGTATGAGTGGATCCCGCAGTTCAAACCTGTGTTGTTCAACTGTACAGCTGTAGAAGCCATCCCAAGTGAACCATCGAGGGAAAAAAGAGTAAGAAAGAAAAAACAAGAAGGAAGAGAGGAAGGGAACTGGTGAACAGTGGGACAACCTCAAGTAGCCCAATCATGGGTAACACATGGGAGAGGCTGTGCCAGAAAAACTACTGGAAGAAATAATGGTTGAAAATTTTCCAAATTTAATGAAAACAACTGACGTCAGGAGTTTGCAACCAGCCTGGCCTACATGGTGAAATCCTGTCTCTGCTAAAAATACAAAAAAAATTAGCTGGGTGTGGTGGTGGTGCCTGCCATCCCAGCTATTCGGGAGGCTGAGGCAGGAGAATTGCTTGAACCTGGGAGGCGGAGGTTGCAGTGAGCTGAGATGGTGCCATTGCACTCCAGCCTGGGCGACAGAGCAAAACTCAAAAAAAAAAAAAAAAAAAAAAAAAGGAATTCCCCCAATCCAGCTGTCCCAAATTGTCTTGGCTACTGTGAGTCTGTGGTGGTAATCTATGGATAGTGTCTGGA